GACGGTCGCTTGCGAGTATTCTCAATGTGAGACTTCAGAAGCTTTCGCTTGCCATAGGGAGCTTGCTTTCGACTACAGCACTGCACGGGCCCGGAAAGCGCGGAGCGCGCTGCTGTGGGGAGAGGTTGACTTACAAGATGACGTGTTACGTGGTCACGTAAGATGGCGTCATTTCGTGCAGCGTGGTCACGTAAGATCACGTCATTTCGTGTAACGAGATCATGTAAGATGACGTGTTTGTGTCACGTGATCACGTAAGATGACGTCAGTTCGTATGAACTGACGTCACCTTACGACAACGCCAACAACATTAGTGCCGTCCGGAACCATTGACCTTAGAAACGCGTCTCTTCACTTGAAGAGCTGATATGTGTTGATTGTTATTTGTTTCTTTTGCCTACTACAGACCATTCAAAAACTCGCCTTCTGGGTGCCACCAACTTCGTCTACTGGGCTGTAAAGCGCGTTTGAGCGTGCGCAATACCTCTCTAGGCCGAAAGATTGTACACTGAGTATGCGTTCACAGCTCAATGACTTAGGCATTTTTCTTCAGGATAAATGCTCCCACGAGAAGAGCGTAATGGATATGTGAATAGAATTGGAAATTTAAAATGTTCTTGTCCAATCGCATTTTTCTTTGGTTATCAACGCTTTTTAGCGTCATCACAAGACGTTCAACCCATAATACACTGGTGATTAAAAAATAAGCACCGAAAAACATGCACCGATTTTCGCTCAAAAATAAACACCGGAAAAAACATACCGTAATCATTACCCATGTCACCTTTTTGGGTGATATGTGAATTTCCAGAAGAACAGCGAGTTATCACCCTCCCTTAGGAATACCCTGACTACAGAGCAGGCGACCCGTTTTTCCCCGCGTTAGATTGCGGTGACCACGAACCGTACGGAGGTCGCAGGACGTCCGTGAAAAATAAAAAGGAGGCAAACAACGATCTACTCTGTGCACGCTTCATCCCCGATTTCCCCGACCCCAAGGCCGAAGGACGTTTGTGTGAAGGATAACGATAAAATAAAACTTTGCGTAAAAAAAAGCCCGTTTTTAAAAGAAAAAAAATGTAGAAACAAGCACAACGCGTTGACGGACTGCGAGGTTGTGGAACACCTCGCGGTCTGCTTGCCACAGGACGGTTGTCTTCGACCCATAGCTCCATGGTGAATTTGCCACTTGCGAAAACACGGAGACCTACCCAGCGAGAACCAGGAAGGCAAGACACGCACACTGATGCCTCGGCGTGCAGAATGAAACAGGATACGGGCGCGGAATACGGCCGCAGAAGAACACCTCGCACAGTGCCGATCCGGCCGATCTCCGAACGGACGATTTCGCATTTTGTGGACAGCGAGCGCCACCGCACGGGAGAGAGAGGTACCTTAAAAACGACGAAAACAAGCACCGACACCTTGGTTCTTTATATTTGCTGTAGTTACGGAACAAATCGACTTACATGAACAATTTGAATATTATTCGATTCCGTAATAAATTTAGAAGACACTAAGCGCAATACCTCTTAAGTTTGAATTTATATAATTTTGTAAATTCGCTCCGAACGCAAGAGTGCCGAATTAGCCAATTTTGACCATTTTCATGATTTTTAAAGAATATAATTAAATTTATGATGAAACATTTGTGGCGCTTAGTGTCTCGATAATGACTCAATGTCTTTAAAGCCGAAATTTTCAAGAAGATCCGCGCAGCCGTTATTATCTGAGAATTTTTTTAATTTGGTGAAAAACCTCGTGTATTCTCTATGGGGCTCTGAGGTGCGCCCCCTCTTAACGGCGTCGCGGACGGATGTGCGAGCGTTCAGGATTGCTAACCCTAATCACTTCTCCGGTGATGAAAACTCATGAAAATTTGCATCCTTTATACGGTACGTGCCAGTATTACCTTGAACTTGAGCACATGCATGAAATGCTCCAAATAAGAAATCCGAGCGATGTTCAAAAACACAAATGCTTGGAAAGCACCACTGTAGTCGAAGTAAACAAACACGACAACATGGGCGTTTCTGCTGTCCTGAGAGCGCTGCCACGACATTGCTGCACGAGTAGGTGGATCTTCCCTTCTAGTACGTGCTGGGTTATCATAGCGACACACGACGAAAATTCACAGTAAAGGATAGCGCTTTAACGCGGAATGATGAGCTTCCACCACGCCGTCCACGTCGACGGTCACCACCGACGCCATGTTTGCAGATAGAAGCCGGCCCGCGACCGGCATGCAACGCGCGCAACCAGTTCTCCTCGACCTGTAATTGGTCTGTCGTTGCGGTTGTTTCCAACGCAGCGGGGGAAAGTTGGGCTCGCTCCAACTCCTTGCATCGTGAATGACATGTGCGTGCGTCCCTCCGTCGCTATGGCAACTGAAGCCTCTCTTTGCTTCTCCTCGCTTCTTCGAGCAACCTCCTTGCCATCCTTGCCCCCGCGAGTGCCGCTTGCTGCTAACGCCGTTCTCTGGTGTCACAGAGGGAAGCGTGCTCGCTGCGCCGGTCGGTCGGCGGGCTGTTTGAGAAACCGCACTATAACCGGTATTTCCCTTCGCGCGCCTGCATTTTAAGCGGTATGTAATTACATGGAGTTGTTTGGGAGGCGAACCGGTGGTTGAAAAAAGCCGCGTTATACCCGGTCCTGCACTATAAGCGATTACGTTTTATGTGGTCTATACTGTATAACAAAGAACATACCGTTCAAAGCAGTATGTATTGAGTGGGCCAGGCAATTTCTGCTGTAATGAGGCAGTGTTGCCTAGTGTGCTGATAGTAAGCTTAGTTGATTATAAGTTCTTAGTTGTCTACAGTATAGACCACTTACAATGTAACCGCTTATAGTGCAAGACCGGGTATAACGCGGCTTTTTTAAACCACCGGTTCGCCTCCCATAGAACTTCATGTAATTACATGCCACTTACAATGCAGGCACATGAAGGGAAATACCGGTTATAGTGCGGTTTCTGAAACAGCCCGGCGACCGCGCCAACTGACCGGTGCAGCGAGCACGCTTCCCTGTGTGACACTAGATAACAGCGCGAGCCGCAAGCGGCACTCGCGGGGCAAGGAGGTTGCTCGAAGAAGCGGGGAGAAGCAAAGAGAGAGGCTTCAGTTGCCATAGCGATGGAGGGGTGCACGCACGTTTCGTTCACGTGCGTGCATACTTCCGCAGCATTGGAAACAACCGCAACTACAGACCAATCGCAAGTCGAGGAGAAGTGTTTGCGCACGTTGCACACCGGTCGCGGGCCGGCTGCTTCTATCTGCAAACATGGCGTCGGTTGTGATCGTCGACGTAGACGGCGTGGTGGAAGCTCATCGTTCCGCGTAAAAGCGCTATCCTTCACTGTGAATTTTCGTTGTGTGTCGCTATGATAACCCAGCACGTACTAGAAGGGAAGATCCACCTACTCGTGCGGTGATGTCGTGGCGACATTCTCAAGGCGGCAGAAACGCCCGTGTCGTCGTGTTTGTTTACTTCAACTACAGTGGTGATTTCTAAACATTTGTGTTTTTGAACATCGCCCGGATTTCTTATTTGGAGCATTTCATGCCTGCGCTCAAGTTAAAGGTATTACTGGCGCGTACTGTATAAAGGATGCAAATTTTCACGCGTTTTCATCACCGGAGAAAAGTGATTAGGGTCAGCAATCCTCAACGCTCGCAACGTCCGTCCGCAACCCGCGACATTGTTAACAGGCTGCGCCAGGCAAAAGTCACTCGTTTCTTTCAAAATGCGTGACACACTTGAGAGAGAAGTGTACTAGTCTGGTGAAATAAAGACTTCCCTCAAACTAAGCTTCATTTTTCATCTAGCATAAAATAAATTATTTTACAAAGGTAAGTTGTCTCATGGCATGTATTTTGGCCTGAAAAATTGATGTTTTGGTTATAGCGCGGTACCGCTTATTGTGCGGATTTTCACGACTCCCACGACATACGTTATATGTGGTCTACACTGTACCTCTGTTCACATGTATGAAACTTCACAAAACTTTTTTCTTCATTGTACTCTAAATTAATATCTTTTCATTGCATGCAGTTGGTTTCTGTCAAGTTTGCAAAGTTGCAACTATATGGTAAAGGTGTTCTTTCTGTTCACGAGTATTATTCACTGAAATGGGATATCCTGAAGGCTGGTTGCAGTCATATCAGAAACCTTGATATACTGAAAACGACTTATTTTTTCTAAAACCTATTTTCTGTGAATTTTACAGAAATTGCAGAAAATTGCATGATAAATTTTAAAAAATTTATCATGCAAAGATTTCATCCTATGGTAACGAATACATAGCATACCGCTCCCAATCGTAAAATTTTGTGCCGGCAAAATATTTCCAAACACACTTTTGCAAAACTCGCGAAATATTAAGCATGCGGAAATAAAGTCGTTTACTTTATTAAAAATCTAAATTCAATGAAATCTTCAAGGCCTCAGTATGATCTTGTCACAAAATCAAGGGTCAACTGTCTTGAAAAATTTATGGAAAATTGCTAGGTTTGTTGTGTGCATAAAACATCCTAGCATCACAAACGTTCGGCTATACTCCAAGTTCCCAGACGTCAGATGCCTACGTTCACGGCACTCTTCATCAGATAGTTTAACATGTACCATATGTACACTTGACAGTTGTTCCCAGAATGAAGCAATACTACCACTATTTGGGCTGATAAACCTGGCGATCTTCAAGAGCCTTCCATACTCGCAAGCTCCTCTACCTCGGTGCACACAAGTTGTCCAGCTTCTCCTTGCCTGCCCCTTTAATCACGTGACCTCCCCATTAACCAGTCGGCATCGAGCACCTTGCTCCTTCTCCCTAACCGTCAACTAATCGGTGTCGAGCCTCGCAGCCACGCTTTTATCCAGGCGTCGCGTAATGCCAAACACTTAGCCAAAGAAAGGTTCACGTTAAAAAAAATTCAATATAACCGACTGCCACACTCTTCTATGTGACCGCAAGTAGCTCTCACACTGATTGCACTTCGCAGGTAGAGGTTCAGAACATGGTTGCTGTCAAGCGTGACAACCTCTCGAAGGCCTTTGATCTGTTAAAAGTGCGAGAGGGCGACAACTTTGTCATCACGTTCAGCCGCTTTGCCACACTACTCGACAAGATTCCTCCTGCGAGGAGTGAAACCACAAAGAAGATTCTCTGGTACGTTCTGGACCAGAATGGCGACAACAGAGTCGGTGAGTGTCTCTGGCTGCAGTAAGGACCGCATGGTGGGGGGTCGGTTATGGGCATAGTTCGGTTACAGTTCAGTTATAGGCGCAGTTTGAAAGGAAATTGTGCAGACAATCGCATGACGTGATGCAAATGGACAGCCTCAGCTGGTGCGACGTTTCAATTATATTGCGTCGAGACAGAGTGGAAATTTCGGTGATGTGGCGTCAAACGGTGTAACATTTTATTGTCTCTTTTGCGTTGCGCTGTGATTGTCAAATCTGTGCCATTCACCTACACACTAACACTGCGTAGGCATGCAGCTCACACCTTGAAGGCAGTCAGCTCACTGTCCAGGTACGACGATTGAAGAATCTCGTGGTAAGCCACCGACAAAGACACCAGGTCTCGTGTAAAGTACAACCAATCGCACAAAGAGCAACTACTACTAGCACTAAACGTGTTCTCGTGGATGCGCCGCACGAATTCCTCGATTGCTCCAGCGTGTCCATTCTTCTTCCGTGAACGCTGTTCCCCCATTCTTGCATGCAAAGGCTACGAGCACCGAGAAAATGGGCGACCAAAGGCGAGAGGGAGCAGGTGGCAAGGGGCACAATCCCACGGCCCCCAGTGCAATCGCTTTTGGCCGAAAGCGCTGGGCCTCAACCGCAATATTGATTGTTAAATAAAGGATGAGTATTCATCCACCTTTTATTCTTTAAATTTTGACTCCAACTTTTAATTTTGTATTTATATGCTTATCTAAGATAGTCAATTATTTTTTTGCTCATTTATAAACAGTTATTTCTTTTTCAACACTCGAGGCAGCGACAGATACCCGATCTGGCCCCTTAGCCAGAATGTTTGGAGACCCCTGACGTAATGATATGGACATTGGTGGTGTGTATGTCGGGGTATGCCCTGCCGCCCTTATCCTTTCAGTAACTATAGACACATTTTGGAAATGAAACTACAGTTATGGACAAAAATAGTGCAAATAAGGTAAAGAAGCAAGAGGCGGCAGGGGGGAAAGAGTGCTGACTCACATCTGAGGTTTTAATAAAGAGTTAGTAAAAGGGAAGATAGATGGCAGGTGTGGTAATATTAATAAAGTAGGGAAGGGAGAGGAAGTAAGTTACAAAAATTAACCTCTGTCTAAGAGCCATTTTAAAGGAACGATAATTTACATGATTACCCAAACCCAAGTGAATACACCTATGTACAATTATTCACATGTGAACTACAAAGTTGACAGTGACCCAAACGGTACTGGCTTTCACAAGCAGGAAAAAAAGAAGGAAGAAAACAATAATTTACAAAGCAAGATGAAAAAATTCGAGCTCTTTTGCCGTCAGAGCAATCGAAGGCCCACTTTTACAGGTTATGCCCTTATTCGCGATCTTGCACACCTCGTACACCGCTCTAGTCTTTTGTTTCTTAAAATGTTTAAGCACCTTTGTCTTGGAAAACATTGGTGTGCACCCGCAATCTCTCACACGCACAGCAATGTGTTGCCAGGGTTCTGGCAACACAAGGCCAGGATTCGCACCCTGGCCTTCCGCGTGGAAGGCAAGCGCGATAACCGTTAGGCCACGCGCGTGCTGCCTACTTGGCCCGCTGCGAGCGCGGCAATATGATGCCGCTGTGACATTCCACGAATTTCCGTGCATGGTTGATTTTACATAGGTCATGGGTATCAACCATGCACAGAAGTTCATGGAATGTCACAGCGGCATCATATACAAAATACCGTTGTCATGTGAAAGGGTGTGTCTGGGACAATCTGGGATGTGCATCAATGTGAGACTCGGGGAACATGCACTTTCTCTAAACTCAACGCCAGCGGGCCATCTTGCTGTGCATGTGAGAGATTGCTAATGAACACCAACGTTTTCCGAGACAAAGGTGCTTAAACATTTTAAGGAACAAAAGACTAGAGAGGTGTACGAGGCGTGCAAGATCACGAATAAGGGCCTAGCCTGTAAAAGTGGGCCTTCGATTGCTCTGACGGCAAAAGAGCTTGAACTTTTTAATCTTAGCTCCTAAATTATTGTTTTCTTCCTTCTTTTTTTTCTTGTGAAAGCCAGTAACCTTTGGGTCACCGTCAACTTTGTTGTTCTTTTTGTGAATAATTGTACACAGATATATTCACTTGGGTTTGGTTAATAATGTAAATTGTCGTTCCCTTAACATGGCTCTTAGAGAGAGGTTAATTTTTATAACTTACTAACTTTTCCTGCTTTACTTTATTAATATTACTGCACTTGACATTTTTCCTTTTTCTTCTTCATTAAAACCTCAGTTGTGAGTCAGTGATCTTTCCTTCCTGTTGTCTCTTCCTTCCTTACCTTGTTTGCGTTGTTTAAGTCAATATGTGTAACGAACTCGCCCAGCAACTCATTTTGCTATGAAACTACAAGCACCGAAAAATTCAAACTAAAAAAAACAACAACAAAAAAAATGTAGTATAGAGCACGAAAATATTTTCCTCATGGAAGAACCCCCATCTTTCGTAGCTGTTAGCCGAGGAACGCCTCCTATTTATGGCACTGGTACAATAAAGCTGTGGAAGCCTACAGATCATGTGAACAATGGTTGCACTCGAGGGAGTGCTTTTGGCTCATAGTTACGCACCGGCGGACGACTCGGATCCACCACACCAACCAGAAAGAACACTTTACTGAGCGGGCAGAGACGGTCGGGGAAATTTGGGAGTTTGGGGAACCTGCGAGGGCGCTCTGGTTTGCCCCCTGATACCCGCACCAGGAAGCAAGGTCCCGAGTGGCAAACGAGATACCATGACTATGATGGCAAGAGATGTCGAACGGTCAATAGCCCTTTAGGTGCTCATTTTTGTCCTCTGATTTGCCAACTGCCCAAAACCAGGAACTCTGTCTAGTTAACATGAACCCCCTTATTACGAATGCCTTGCCATAAAGGCGACATTTTCAGAGAAGAACTGGGTAAATACGTGCACTTTTGTCTCGTGATTTTCGGCAACTCGCATTAGGGACAGTTTTTGGGGGGGGGAACAGAGGTGTTTGTATTTACAAAACATGACTGTATGTTAGTAGAGCATGTTGTGCACCATACTGTACATGCTAAAACTTTAAAATTGTTTCAAGCTCCCACATGTTCAATTTGTGCAGACCTTCCGGATTTTATGTACCTGGCCGACTTGCTGAATGTGAGGGTGATTGAAACCGAAGAGAGTGAGAATGCCTTTCAACGAGTCATGCCCGGCGTCTACAACAGCACCGTCTCCATGCTGATCCGCAACATGACTGCGCACATGTGAGTGGGGTTGCCTCACGAGCCTTAGAAAAGTTCTTTCAATGTGTTCCATTCACCTGCAGCTCAGATTGTTGGTAAATTTGCATGCCTTTAAATCCACGAAATGCTTTTAGTCGCTCGGGTAGGAAAGTCACTTCTCGATAGAGAAATCGAGACACTAAGATTTTCTTAGGGATAAGCAATTTGCAGTGTGCATGTCTAGTTGCCTTTGCGCTTTTTGCTTTCAATTCTTTCGTTATCTGTTCCTTGATTGATCAGGAGGTGGGTAGTGATGGGAAGTTTTGTGTTTGGTAAGGTTCCTCCCCTTTTTGATGTTCCAGAAAGAGGCACTTTGCATATTATGTTCAAATTAAAATATCTCGCACATCAGAAAGAAATACAAAGTTGTGCAACGACTATGCAGTAAAAAGAAAAATAACAGCTTTTCAACTTCGGGTTTTGTTGCAGTCAAAAGAATTTGAGAAACGTGTCTAAAATAGGGAAACATCAATATAAAGCGTGAATGTGACTCGTGCAAAATAAAGATCAGAAAGTATTGTCCTTCTCATTAAAGCCACGGTCTTCACTGTTTCGCACGAGGTCGTACTGTGCTTACTCAAATAAAAGCCGCATAGCTTATGGCAGTGGTTCTCAACCATTGATATTTCGCAGACCCCTTGTGGATCGGCGGATGTGATGGGGAATGGAAATGTTTAGGTTCATGGTAAGGGGAAGGGAAAGGTTTAGGTTAATTTTGATAATTATTCAATAAATTGACATAAATAAGGGCAAGTGTGAAGTAGACTACCCTTATTGACATACACACGAGAAAACTCGCCCGAAAATCGGAATGTTTCTACTCAATTTGAAAAGAATACAACTTTTATTGCCGAGCTTGACTGATGAGACAGTGCTTCGCAGACCCCTAAGGGTGCCTTTGCAGACCCCAAAGGGTCCGCGGACCCCCATTTGAGAACCACTGGTTTATGGCAAGGACTTTACGTCTGCATCCTTTAAAAGCATGCAAAAGGGCCAGTCATTACAACTACGCTGGACATATGGAAATTGCGGTCGGTGTTGCCAAGCAGGTGGCACTGTTATGCAAAAACGTTTTCTTTACTTCAATATTCACTCAAATTCTTTCGTGGATTCCTGCTCTTTGCTCTTTCGTCATGTTCTTTCGTATGCTGTTTCGTCGCATGCTGCTCTGTTGCTTGCTGTCCTGTCCCTTTCCCAAATGTGCAGTTTGGCTGTGCCAGCCACGAGGAATAAAACAGACATCTAGAGCTTTCATTCAGCATTTGATGTGCTTCGTACTGAGAGTTGGGAGAATTTTTGCTAGCCTGGCATCATCAATATCGCTTTTCGAGTGGGATGTAAATCTTTGCTGATTTGGGCACTGCCTTCCCCAATAATTTTGCCTCTAAAGTGTGTGGTCCAGACTGCATTGTTACCAGGAAACAGAAGTCATGTCTTAGAATGTTCATATTCTTCCACTTGACACAAAGCTGGTGTTATGGTGGAAAATTTTAGATCTCGTCGTCATCACCTCACTACCTATATTTTATCTGTTGTGTGAAGCTGCATTGTTTTGTTCCCAAAATTTCCGTCGATGCGTCTTCTCCAACAGCACAACTTCTTTGCAATTTTTTTGTATGTATATGAACCTTAACTACACAAATTTACCATGAAGGTTTTCGCCCAATTTATTGCGAGAAGATTGTAAATAGATCCCACTTGTACATAATATTGTGATCACACTACACATATGCGGGCTTACAAATGCAGTTTTGCCACACCGACCTTTTAAATGTTTACCAAGTGTGACTTGTGTTGACATTTTTGTGAAAACAGGTGTTTAGGGGGGGAGGAAAGGGGGGGGGGGGGGTGGGCAACAACTTGTAGGCCAAGGAATATGGTAGTTAAGCTTGGAGTTGCAAAGCCATGTTTCCCTCTTGATAGCATTCTTTATTCGTCTGCATTTTGTAGTGTATGAGATTTCTTGTTGAGGAGTAGGTTCCCTTTGATATGTATGTACCGTATTTACTCGCAGAATGAACGCACTTTTTTTTCCGAAAAATCGATGCAAAGTTGGGGGGAGCGTTCATTACGCGAAGTAAAATTTTTGGGTCCCTATTTACTCACATAATGAAGGGACCTTTTATCCTGAAAAAATCGAAGTAACTTCTTATCTCTTTGCGCGCGGCGCCCGACCCCGTAACCAAACTAAGATGTGCAAAAAAAAAAAAAAAAAACTCCTAGCTCTTTCTTTTTTTTTTTCTTAGTTCCTTTTTTTTTTTGCCGCCTTTCGCAAGCTGTTTTGTTTGCTTAGGCGTTGCTTAGGCGAGGGCTCTCCGCTTATCTTTCTTATCTCCTTGCGCGCGGCGCGCGACCCCCTTCGTAACCAAACTGCGCTGTGCAAAGAAAAAAAGTTTTTTTTTTTTTTAGTTCCGTTTTTTTTTTTTTTTTTGCCGCCTTTTGCAAGCTTTTTCGTTCACTTAGAGCGCTTCTCCGCTTCTCTTTCTTACCTCCTTGCGCGCGGCGGCGTGCGAACCCAACGTCCAGACTGCGCTGTGCAAAAAAAAAAAGCTCCTCTCCATGTTTTTTTTTTCTTGCTTCCGTTAGACCTTTGCGATTTTTTTTAACGCCTTTTGCAAGGCGTTTTGTTCGCCCACGCTGCCCATGCATTCGCGACCTCGCTGCACCAGGAAAGAAAAGTGCGTTCATTTCGCGCGCGTGGGGGAGGGGGTCAGAATTTTGACGTCCCAGTTGGGGGTGCGTTTATTACGCGAGTGAAAAAAAAAGTCGAAATTTTGAGAGCCGACTTGGGGGGTGCGTTCATTGTGCGAGTGCGTTCATTGTGCGAGTAAATACGGTATGTAGTATAACAAGACAACGTTGTGCACTTTCAAGTATTGTGCGTATGAGCAAAATACTCCTCGCTGAAATTGATGTCAAGACGAAAATGATAAATTGGTTCCTTACCAGATTTGTTAATTATACTTCTTTGGTATGGAACCACGTTCCGGCTTCTGTTGCGTTCATTGTTAATGATCCGTTGTTTTGAAAATGCTGTTTACACCCTTCACTGTTTTAAATCTCCATGAACTGCTAAGTGTAAAATTACCATCGTTTGTTCTTCATTGCTATGTTTTGTTGTTCCCACACCCCTCTAATGTGCCAGTGGCCCTGGGGTTATTTAAGTAAATAAATGAATAAGTTAGTACTTATTGTTCAGTGTGCTTATACCTTTTTTCATCTTGAGTACCGTATTAAAAAAAAGTATGGCCCCGTGCAGAGTGTTACTAATTCCCCCTTTTATGTCGTGAGCCAAGATACTTGCATCTGCGTTTAAGATAAGTGATATGTTATTTTATCGAGGCAATCTCATCTCATTTGGAATGCATGAGGCACAGTTATTTTCTTAGACAACTAAATCTTGTGAGAATTACCTCACAAAGCGTACATACACTATTATGCGCTAAACTAGCTTTTCTCTTGAGCTAACTGAGTTTAGATTCTTTTTTCAGCATTAAGGGCATTTCTTTTTTATCACAGTGTTGATGTAGGGGCCTGCATTTTCCAGCATTGACTCTATGAATGCCATAGTTTTTAGATACACTTTTCATGTCTAGAAATAGTAATTAGGTAGTCGACTTCCCTGGGCATAGCATAGATGAGCATGTGCAATTGGCATTGGCATGGAACAATTCTGAGCTGAGCAGGAGAGAGAGTAGTATTAATTGACTCGAAATTGACGCAGTTCAATTTCACTTTAGTTGCAGAAAGGTGGAATCCATCTGGGCAAAGAAATGGGCAAGACGGTAACGCTGTTGAAATCAGGCCAGAACTTGAAAGAGCTATGGTGGGGCTGGGGCAGTTTGTAGAAGAATATTGGTGTTAGGCAGCATGAACACTCCTCTCGACCATCTTTCACTTGTTACATGAAGAGCATGCTAGGTTAATTTAGAAGGTTACATATGGAGATTTGTATGGGAAACAAGAACCTGCACATTTTCCACGGCTTGTGAAACATGACTTGGGCTCTTGGAGACTTGGTTGTCTGCATGCACATAATGGCTTTTGATAGATTGTTGTCTCTCCTTTTCATCTGGCTGGTTGGAGAATGTATAAAAGTATTAGCGAGCTAGTGTGGCATCATTGGAATTTGTGCAACATAGTGTGAAATTCCTAGGCATCATTTCTAGTGAAGCCACTCAAAAGAAAAAATGACACAGATGGCCACAAAAAAGGTATCATTGCAGGACAGAGGTTTTGAATTGGGAAAAGCGTGCCCTCTTCATTATTTTCCATGGGCTCCCCCCCCCCCTTTCCCCCCTTGGATACTTGGATTCGTGCCTGATTGTAGCACTGCATCCGCAGTTACTATGGGTCCACATAGCTAACATGTAATCAAAGAAACGGTCCCATTTCGTTCCAGGATTTTTCGCTATGTCTTTGACCTGCTAATCCTGATCAACGCCATTCTGATTGGACTTGACGTGAATGAAGCAGAGTGGTTTTTCCTTACTGTTTTCACGCTGGAGATCCTTTTGAAGATTTACACGTTTGGCTTCATCAGGTTTATAAAGCAAGCCTGGAATGTGTAAGTAGAATTTCTTCTATCTGAAAAAAGATTAATAGGCTGAGATTAAACTTTTTTCCGCAGCAGTGGAGACTCCACTTTTAGGCAGTTCTTGCAATGCAGAAAGGAAGTTAGAATGTCTAGTGAAAAGCTGGATGTTTATCTCCATTTTTCATCAATGCTTTGTGTATTGAAATTTATAGCATACACTTAAGGCGCGTTCACACCGGCAATGCGATTTAGTTGCACAATAACTTTCATCGCAAAAGCGACCATCGCAGAAGAAAAGCCACACGATTTGGGCAGTCACTAGCTGATTCAACTTTTTACGATGCGATCTAGTCGCGGAGCAGCTGAACCAATCAGTGGCATTTGGAGCGGGAGTTTTTGAGAAGCGACTCGCTCATCGCACACACCAGTGTGATCATCTCATTTTTTTGCGATGCGATCTAGTCGCATCGCGCGACTGCTTTACATCGCCTGTGTGAACGTGCCTTTAGTTATACTTGTACTCCATATTCATTGTATGTTCCAATTCCTTTTTCAACTCTTCGATGGATTGGCAGTACTTAGATAAATATATACACAAATTTTGCAAGAGTTTGTGTGTTAACAATTAGAGCGCTGGTGTTTTAATGATATTTAGCATTAAAATCTGACCTTGACCTAGCCTCCCTAAACAATTCGACCTGTCTATCCGGTCAGTGAGCGCTGGACAATGTTGAAAGCTTAACCTATGCGCTTTCTGGCTGCAACAACCAAAATGTCTAAACTTTTAAATGTTTCAAAACGCACTTTGTTTTTGATGGGACCAACTTAGAGCATTGCGAAATGTTGCAAGGAAAACGTAAGTGGGCCAGTTGTCTTTTACGAAATTCCGCATCCCACAACTGCATTCGGATTACTGACCTCTCGCTTGGAAATCCAACTCCATATTCACTGCACTAGGTGAATGATGGTTAGGATAGTTGGTACATGTACAACAAAAGCTTTGTTGCACGTTTTGCGTCTCCCAGCTTTATCGGTGGGACTAAGTAACATTTGAATTTCTTTCTGTTGTCTTCTCGATCACCTCATACAAACATGGTTAATTTTGTCCCCGTTTTCTTCTTCGTCCTCTGCCCATTTTTGTATCGAATTGTCGGTGATACCCGAAGTTTTTTAAAAAGCAGTGAGCCAGATGAATGCAAATATTTTCCGCTTGTGTTTCATTCTATCTCGTATTGATGAGTAGCCCCGCATAGTAAGAAAATGAGCACTTTGTCTTCCGTTTTCGCAGGTTCGACGTCGTCATCATTGGGTCGGCCCTCATCGGGGCGGTGTACGAAGAGATTATTGGCACTTCCCGTGAGTTTTGCGACAATTCGTCCGATGTCGTGCTGCTGTTTCTATGAATTCATGGCCACCCGAGCTGTATACCAGCATTGGTTTTGTGTCGGCTTTATGCCAAAAGCCAGACCTAAAGATATAAAATAACTTATAATTTATGTCTCGAGGCTGGTTCACATATTTGCATTTGAGTGTAATGAAGTGCGTGCGTTACCTCGTAATCGCTCACGAGGAGTGAAAATGCTGGCACACTGGCATCGTGTGTCGGATAGCCCTAAATTACTTCTGATACGCCGAAGATTTTGTATCTGCAAGATCGAACTACAGTTGAACCTCAATATAACGAAACCCGATTTTACGAGTTTCCCGATTTAACGAACAAATTCGGATTCCCCGCGCAGCCTATCCCGAAGAATGTCTTTCTCGACTTTACGAAGTTCCCGATTTAACGAAATAATTATTGGGTCCCGGTGACTTCGCTAAATCGAGGTTCAACTGTACGCACTATTGACGAGAAACAGTCGCTCATAACGTCTCAAAATCATTTCAAGCTCGCGGTGAAAGGATGATGCTTAAAACGACATGTAGGTCGCAGATGTTCCAGGGCTGCCTGATAGATGGCGCCAGTGTACTAGCGTGTTCTTAGAGAGCCTAGATTGGGGAGAGGGTCCATCTCAGACCATGGGAAGCATCTGCAATCGAATGGCGGACGCCTTCCGCAAAGATTGACAGCGAGTGCGCACGGGCTGTGTTTTCGCATGGTGAGGACAAAGGGGGGGGAAAGGCTAGCGGACGATCGACGGATTTGTTGCATCCTCGCGGTTCGTATAGCAAACGCAGTCCATGAGCCACGAGACTCCAGTCGATCAGTTGGAAACTTTTTGTATCCAGGCACTATATGTATTCTTTCATGTAAGCAGTCACAATGGAATGGAATATGCTCAAACGCAACTGGTAAACCAGCATTTAGAGTAACGACACTTCGGCTACCTTGTTACCTAAAATCATTGGTTGCCATTTGTCGGAAGCTTTGCCTGAAATTGCAGGAAACGCTTTTCTTTCTTCCGGAAATGATGAAACAGTCCGCAACAGAGCAGGGCATCGCCTGGATTTCTTTATGCCATATAAAGCTCTGGAAGTTGCATTTTCTAACTAACCATTACTATCGCCAATTTTGCCCGCTCTGCGCTACCGTCAAATCCCGAGCAAGTGTCCACTCAAAATTCCAAGATTGTTGTGTAAAACTGGTGGATGGACGCTTCCTAGGTCATTATTATGGAAAGATATATCTTTTGCGTATTTTCCAAATGTTACAAAATTGAGGGGTGGGTGCTTTTTGTGGGATGGGCGGATGCTCGATATTTGATGGTAGTCAACAAGATGGCGTCACCCAAAAGAGAATCGGGGAGTGGAATGTTGATACTCTTTGCATAGTACAGTGTAGACCGCATATAATGTATGTCGCGGGAGTCGCGAAAATCCGCACTCTAAGCGGTACCGCGCTATAACCAAAACATCAATTTTTCAGGCCAAAATACATGCCATGAGACAACTAACCTTTGTAAAAGAATTTATCTTATGTTGGATGAAAAATAAAGCTTAGTTTGAGGAAAGTCTTTATTTCACCAGACTAGTACAGTTCTGTCGCAAGTGTGTCACACATTTTGAAAGAAATGAGCGGCTTTTGCCTGGCGCAGCCTTTTAACGGCGTTGCGGGTTGCGGACGGACGTTGCGAGCGTTCAGGATTGCTAACCCTAATCACTTTTCTCCGGAGATGAAAACGCGTGAAAATTTGCATCCTTCATACGGTACGCGCCAGTAATACCTTCAACTTGAGCACACGCATGAAATGCGCCAAATAAGAAATCCGGGCGATGTTCGAGGACACAAATGCTTAGAAGTCACCACTGTAGTCGAAGTAAACAAACACGACGACACGGGCGTTTCTGCCGTCTTGAAAGCGCCGCCACGACATCACCGCACGAGTAGGTGGATCTTCCCTTCTAGTACGTGCTGTGTTTTCATAGCGACACACAACGAAAATTCACAGCGAAGGATAGCGCTTTTACGCGGAACAATGAGATGAACGCCGTCTACGACGATAGTCACAACCGACGCCATGTTTGCGGATAGAAGCAGCCGGCCCGCGACCGGAGAGAGAGAGAGAGAGAGAAGCGTTGTAATAGAGGTTGGGGGGGAAAGGAGAGAGCGCACTGGGCGCTTGGTCACTGGCCGGCATGCAACGCGCGCGAACACTTTTCCTCGATCTGCGATTGGTTTGTCGGTGCGGTTGTTTGTTTCTTCGTTGCCAGCGCAGTGGAGGGGCGGAGGGATGCACACACGTGAATGACACGTGCGTGCGTCCCTCCGTCGCTATGGCAACTGAAGCCTCTCTCTTTGCTTCTTTCCACTTCTTCGAGCAACATCCTTGCCCCGCGCCGTCAGCGCCGTTATCTAGTGTCGCACAGGGAAGCGAGCTCGCTGCTTCGGTCGTCGGCGCGGTCGGCGGGCTGTGCCAAAAACCGCACTATAACCGGTATTGCTTTTCGCGCGCCTGCATTTTAAGCGGTATGTAAATACATGGAGTTCTATGGGAGGCGAATTGGTGGTTTAAAAAAACCGCGTTATACCCGGTCCTGCACTATAAGCGGTTACGTTGTAAGTGGTCTCTACTATAGCTTAATTAGTAACTCTAGTCGGACCGGTGCGAAACGTGCAATGGCACACGATGCTAGGCCAACATTGGGAACATTGGGCTCATTTGATTACCTCCACCTCCTGCACTAGCTGCACCCTGTGCACACCACCGTATTTGATTTACGGCTGCAGCGTATCTCAAGACCCAATCGGAACGTATATTGCCCTGCACGTTTCTGCTCCACGTTACACTTTTCTGCACCGGTGCAGGATGGGGCACGTAAATCAACAAGGCCGATGCTTGGCCGACGTTGTGGATTCCCTGTACAACCTGCCTAGGCAGAGTACTTGAAATAAAGAAATTGTTTTTTCAGTTTAACATTATTGGCCACGGTAGAGATCAGGTGTAGAGTGGCATATATTGCTTTTTGCTGTTTCTTTGAATGTGAAATTGGAATTTGTTTTTTTAGTTTTGTATGGTAGGCTTCGGGAAGCCTAAATTCGACATTGGACGGCACAAAGCAGAATCTTTGTCAAATCTAGCAACTGTTTTGACAACCTATTTTACACCTACCATAAAATGCCACAGCAGCAGCCACGTCGTTCAAGCACCCACTACTACTATTACCATTTTACAAACTGGGGAATTCTGCAAATTATACGTTAAGTGCTTGATTTGAATGGACAGGTGCCCATGTCTAGGTAAACCCAGTTTTCAGTGAAAGTGGGGTATTGTACGGTAGTATTTTTCAAAAATAAATAAACCCAGAAAATTATCTCTAGACTTTTCTTACAAATGAACACGGGAAAGTCTATGGCCTATTACCTAGTAAGACTGAGTGTTGTCGAGTAGGCGATTGCTTCTTGTGTCGTATGGTCCGAGTCTTTCCAATATTTCTGGTCCGCTACATTTCAGATGAAAACAAAACCATGACCCTCGACATCCTGCTTGTACTGAGGGTTCTTCGTTTGGTCAAGCTCATTCGCAACTTTAAAAAGTAAGTACTTGCGAATGAATGCTCTGCACCTCTTGTGTGCCAGTTAAAGCTCACGGGAGGTCACTTCTTCGGGCTGACAATTCCTCTTTTCTTCCTTGCTTAGATTCCGAGGGATTATCAACACCATCACCAATCTCGGTCCATCCATACTGACGTTTGGTGGTGTGCTTTTTGTGAGTCAAAAAAGTGTTCACCAATCTTTCTTTGTCCAGTCAACCAGTGCTTAGAGCACCTTGACCTGCTTTGGTTTGTTCAGGAAAGAGCCGTAGTTGCCCGTGCAAGAGCCACCCTTCTGTTTTTTTTTAATTGTAGTGCAAATTTTGGGGGAACTGTAATTGATACACTAAAAAAAGAAATTGAGGCACTCGTTTGATCTATTACCCAAATGTCCGGTATGCAGAATGCATCATGCAAATATGGACATGCTATAAAACATATGCACACGCTCTATTTTACCTATTTTTTATCGGATTGAGAGCTCGAACTCTTGGCAATACATTGCGTGGCCCAACGTCACGTGATATAGTGACATCGGGTCGCTTGACATCTGTCAAAGTTTGGGAGGCCTTTAAATATTGGCTATTTTAGACAGGAACAGGCACTCTGATTCTATGTATGGCAATCTCCAGAAGACTCGAAACACCTTGAGCATGGTACTTAGCCCACTTACGAGCGAAGTCAGGTTTCATGCACAAGTTTGTGAACGTATCTGCTCCAACTACCGTGGCATACTATTCCCAGCTATACCCTGTTCCCCCCTAAACTGACAACACGATGGAAACTATGCGCTTGTTGAAACAATCAACCGCCTCTCTTTGATAACGTCGCCCCGCTTTCTCCGCGTGGGAACGGTCGGGAGCGTGATTTTGTGGCAAAAGACGGTCAAGTAACCAATCCAATGAGCATGTAGCTTCAGCTGCACTATCAGCTTAGCGGTGAATGGAGTATGGTCTGTCCCACTAGGAAGAGCGGAGAGAGAAAAAATACCTTCACCCTCTCACCCCGCTCATCGTCTGCTTTGTCGAGTGGGCTGTACTTAACATTTGGCTGGCGTTCAAACTCGGTTTAAAATCGCGTCATTTTGGAACTTTTGACTGCAGATGTGCAGATTGTGACATGTAGGTTATCGTGTAATGCTATGCTCAAAAGACTAACTGGGTCCGATTGCGCCGTTACCTGCGTGCAAATAAAAAAAAAAGGTCTCTCCGGCGGAAAGTAAATCTGGTTGCTATAGGTGTTTTTACTATACAAAGTTTGTACTGGTGTAGTCCTTTAGCGACATTGAGTGGAAGTCTGGATTAATAAATAAAAACATGCTCTCCTGACACAATAGATGCAGTGGTTGAGAATAGTACTGCCGGCTGTCTCGACTGCTATTGAAGTAACGGAACAAGTCACGCTAGTTAGTCATTTAGTGAAATAAAACAACAGCGCTATAGGTTGATTTTGGAGTAGCCATAAATATTCTAAGAATGCGAACCACATCGCAACGGCAACCACGAGCGAGAGTTCGATGCTTGGTACAGCCTGCCGTACAGCCCGAAGATAGAGAACGGTAACCTCCTGGTTTGTCGTCTGCTAGCGAAATGAAGCATGTGCCCTCTCTCTCATTTTACCCCGCCAAACCTGCTGAACTTCCCGGACATGTGGAGAGGGCGTTGTGATAGAACAAAATTGTGCCGCCCTGAGAGTGCTAAATGGATTGGCCTATAGTGGGAGCTAAAAGCACCGCCATACTGGTTGTTCACACTGACCAAAAAGGTGTCCGCCTTCATCCACCCGGATGTGGCATCGTCTGCCCACTCGAGTGCTTCCTGTCTTTCTCCCTCGCTTCTTTCTGGTACTCTAATTCACCTCGAAATGGGCCAGAGCAGATGCCACGGTAGTTTTGGGAGAGTTAATGCTGTCATTCTACAAGGGTGGAAGAAATTTTCATTAACCGGCACGACTTCCATCACCTTTGCTTGAGGTCGATGCTATCTGAACCCAATTAGAGCTCTTTGCAACACCTCAAAAATATTGCCCAGGGCACAGTCTCCTTTACAAAAAGTCTGAGCTTTCACACAAATTAAAACGTTTGCCAGTGACAGCTAAACAAGAACTAGCCTTGAATCACATGTATTGTAGTGAAGAAGCTACTAAGCAGTATGTCATGCATCTTCATGTGGAAGGAAAAATTGAAAGGGTCCTCAGAAATGAAGGCCTGACCGCTTAGTCCTTTGTCCACACTGGGTGGTCGGAAGTGAGAAAACAATAAAGTTGCTGAATCACAATTTGCACCAGAGCATCTCTGTCTCGGAAATGCTGAGGAAAACCGGAACTCGAGAAACTTGACGCTACCAAGATGGCCTTGCACGCGTTAATTCGTCTAATCCCTATCCAGGCGGTGTACTACGTGTACGCCGTGATCGGCATGGAGCTCTTCCAGGACAAGATCAGCTTCTTCGGGGACCACAATGCCACTGTGCCTTACTGCGGCAACCCCAAGCTCCGCACTTCCGCCTTCTACGCCACGGGTTACTGCAAGAACAACTTCAACGACATCTTCAGCTCCTTCGTCGTGCTCTTCGAGCTCATGGTCGTCAATCAGTGGCACAATATCCTTTTCCGAGATGCCTCGCCGAAGCGGATTCCTCTGCGGTGCGCACGTTGCCGCACGTGTGGCCGAGCGGGTGACACAGATAACTTTCGAACAAACGAGCAGAGTTCGAACCTCGTTACACTGTTTCCTACTAAATCCGATTGCAGTGAACGCTACGTCACCCAATTGAGTCAATCGAGCGTTAAAAGTGCATCGTCGCGAGGCTTGTCATCTTTGCGCATTCTCTATCACCGTCTAAACCAGTCCCACGCAGTAGAAAGCGCCGGATCACTACGTATTCACTCAGCAGTGTGAATACGACGAGTGCCATGACAATCCACTTTCGGTGCCACTTGATCTGTCCGATCGTAACGTTGGCCACTGTTGGACTTAATGCGAGTTTGAGCGCGGCTTCACATTAAGCAGTGAGTGTAGTTTTACTATTCTTTGCTTCTCTAGCAAGTTTGTGCATTCTTTTCAGTAACTGTGTCCATTTAGGTTTAGAACCTTCGGGAACAGAGAACTTGTATAAAAGCAGCCGTACCCGCACTCTGTCGGGTCGGTCTTACGCTAGCGCTCGATCCCGCTGTTACACCGAGACATTGACATCCGCGATGCTACGTATTTACCATTGTATTTTTTTTTTTTTTTCGATCATTGTCGCTACATTAGACGTTTAGTTTCTCAGTGTTTCTTTTTTCTTTTATTGATTCTTTGCTTGTCGTCTCTGACAAAACTACTTACTGATAATTCATCAAGAGTGAAAACTGGAAGTTGCTCACTTGTTCATTGCAGCGGCTTCAGAGTCCAGAGTCTTGAAAAGAAGGGAAGACAAAATAAGCGATTAAAACTAATACTGCCGAGAACAGTGTAAACATATTGTTGGGGTGATCTGGAACTGGGGGTGAGGGACACAGTAAGCAAGATGAAAGTAAATACATAGCCACACAAGTGCCTCGGTGCCATTTTCATCTTACCATTTTCCCACTTTTGAGCGGAGCTGACCCGGCCAAAGAATGAAAGTTAAACACCCGACTACAACAAACATCCAGGTTTCGGAAATTTATTCGGTGCAGTGTAGATGATGGTTAGCATTCTGATCCTGAAAATGTCTGGGGCCCTCAAAAGACCTTCATGCTGCCTTCTGAGAAGCAGTGCAGTGTTTTATTTATCAACTTTTACCTTGACCTATTGTCCACTTCTTACCGAGGGGTTTGTCCACGTCACCAGCAAAGGGGCACGGCTCTATTTCCTGCTCTTCCATCTCTCCTGCGTGGTCATAGTGCTCAAGTGAGTTCTTCATACGCAGGGTGTCTTGTTTTCAATAATTCCAATATGTAAAAGAAAAAAAAAAACTCATTGGGTTTTGATTTTTGCTTGCAACACATCAGGGCCTCGTCAAGCTACACTTGTTGCAGGGTTTTTCCCCAATCACCCTTTTTTTTGTAGAAAGAAAAATAAGACGATTGAATGATTGATGCATTGATTGATCCAATGGCACATTCCAGATGCAGTGCAAAATCTCGGGAGAGACTGTGAAAAGTATTTTTGTAAAATGTGATTTATTTTTCTAACAACATTGTTCTGAAAAATCTAGCAACTTTTGTACCTTTCAAGCCCTTGACAAAGTCTTGGTAATATTTTTTTTTTATTAAAGGTGTCAATAAAGTGGGGAAAAAATTGACATTTTCATTCTTTATTAAATTTCAGTCATAAAAAAAAAACCTTCAAAGGAGCCTTTTTTTTTTCGTTTTATTTTTAAATGATAGGTTGCCTAATTAAATTTACCTTTGCTGAAAAAACTGGAATGGAGGAAAATGCATTTGAAGTATCCAGATGATAAGTTAACTATGCAGCAGAAATGAATGAAACTTTGTGGAAATAATTTTTATGTTTTGGCCATGTCCCTCCCTTAAAGGGCAACTCCGCTTCTTTTCCAGTAGTGCAAAACTATACAGTTCTCTTTGTTATCATCTACAAAACCCCCATGGCAAATATTACGACGGAATTGCGCCTAGAAGTTCATTAAAATCGCTGTCAAAGTTTGACAAGCACGAATCCGCTGGTTTTGGATGAGACGTGCGGGCCAGACAACACTGCCCGGCTGCATTTCCGCTTCCTCCAAATTCCTTCTCCCGGCATTTTTTTTTCAATTTTGTTTTCTTTCCCGGGGAGAGCACGGGTGGCGCCAGCGCCTTGAAAGACGTGAGTGACGCGCTCGGCCGGCCCGGCGCTCGACTATTGATACTACTGATAAGCCGATCGCCTCGTTGAGCGCGGCTTGTGTTACATCGCATACTTTTGAACACCAATTAAAAGGAGGAGAGGGAAGCTGCTTTTGTAAGAATTTTTAGTGACAGGTTAATCTTCTATAATCTTCTGGGAGGAGAATAGCGACGCCTGTGCTAATCCAGGAGGCACAAAGGAGAATCCTGATAAGAGGGGAGCTCCTTCTTCCCCTTGTATATCACGTGGGTGTACATGTTTAGTGATGCCGAATATACAATGTTGTCCGGCTTTGCCACCGTTTCGGTTTCGGTTTGTGATCATGGCTAGAGTAAAATTACACGAAAAATATTTTATTTTTCGTGAAACAAAGGATTGGGGATTGTTTTTGAGTGCTTCAAAAAGCAAAATCGGCCACTATCTCAAAATTTTTGAAATTAAGCGGAGTTGCCCTTTAAATTGCAACTCCGGTTCATTTTAAATATTAGGAAGCCAATGCAATTCTTTTTAGTATCGCCTAAAAAGACCTCATGCCAAATATTTGGATTTAATTTTGCTTACAAGTGAATGAAACTGGCAAACAAAGTATGGTGTGCGAAATTCCCAAAATCTGCTAATCCTAGTGGGCGAGGTGTGGCGCAGCCAACGGCACAGTCAATACCATTATGTCTGCGCAGACGATCCTGCGCTACCTACATCATGCTCGTCGTGTTTTAGTACGCCAAGGTACAAAACCTTTACCCTGGAGTAAAATTGAGTATATTTTGGAACATAGGGTGTTGTTTCCATCTTTCCTGTTGAGGGAAATACGGCAATGAGGAAAGCAACGAGAGTAAGGTTACTCCTTTCTGCTCGTTGGTCAGTCTTTGAGGGCTTCTTGGTTGAGATCACACCTGCCACAAAGCTCGCACATATCTCGTATGTTTAACAAAAGCCAAACATAGTCGCCCATGGAATGAACGGCAGGGCCCGTTTTTTTCTAACGCCCAGTCTCCGTCGTGTGCTCCACGCCTTCCACCATGCTCTGGCTGCGCGCGCGTGCTGAAGGTGCATGAGACGCCGAGCCATTGTCGAAGATAGAAAGCTTGCGCTGGAGTCGGTCCGACTGAAGCTCCTCCCTGTCGTTCTCACCTTGCAGCATTACTATGAATCGTGGAGGAAAGTCAAGATTTGCCTGTGCCACAAAAGAATGAATTGGTTGTGTAAACTTCGAATGTCTTTTTCCTACACAAATGGGGCTGGCCAGATTGGTCGACGCATCGAAACGTCTCGCACGTTCTCTCCCCATCGTCCCTTCTCTCTCTCTCGCTCTTTTCACTTAAGGAACACCACCAATCTGAATACACGGGCGACATGTTGTCAGACGAAGTCTCCTGTACAGTATCTGAAACAGAAAAGTGTGCGGGTACCTGGAACTTCCGGGAACTCTTCCCATTAAAGAGAACTTGCACCCTCGACATCTGCTCTTCCTCTTTTTGTTTTTCCAGCATTTTCACGGCCTTTGTGCTGGAAGCCTTCATCTTGGAGTACACGATTGACAAGACAAAGCTCGAAAGTGCCGTCGAAATGAAGATTGGCGAGATGGGACTCAAGCTCGGAAAGTGAGTAGTGATTCCTCCCGTCTTTGCAAACATACTCTCGTTTGCTTTCTTACACGTAATTCACTAGTAAAAAACAGCTATCACGAAAGACAAAGGACAAGCAGAGGACTGGACGGCAAAAGCACTTGTACCATCTAGTCATCTACTTGTCCATTGTCTTTTGCGCTATTTTTGTGATATTTAACGAACTTGGGCCATCCTAATTCACTCCCAAGCACCATGCCTTGGGATTGGGATCGGTGGACAAATGGGATGTGTAGCAAGTACTCTCTGCTCTGGACACTCATAGTGCTTGGCCGGGTTGTCCAAGTTTGGGAAACGCCCAGCTCATGAGGATCTTGAATGTTGTGTGACTGCCCACCATGGCACACATACCAATGGTATGTTGGTGCTAAGTGAACCAGTTCAACTTTGGAAGGCCTTTGTGACTTAGTATTGGTTGACAGACAGCGTCTGAAATCAAAATATCACCAGCTCGCCTGCACTCTTACTATATTTTCTTTAGGATATTTCATTCACAATTGGGTCAAATTACTGCATAGTGCATATATTATGATTATATTCCTCTGCTCTTGTTGCCTTCAGCTGTTGGGAGTAATTTTCGATTTCCAACAACTGGTCATGCCTGCTTGCCAATATCAGTCAATGCCTTAGCATAAGGTGACAGATAACTTGACACTCATTAAGAGCAAAGAGACAGTCAGTGAATTCATAAGGTGCAGGCTGGCTCTTCACCATCATGATTTTTTTAAACTGATCATGGGGTGAGGCTAGTCACTGAACCCATTTGGAAGGAATAAAGAAATCAGTAGTAACCCTTTGAGTGCCAGGTGTTCCTCCTGCATGCCAAAGGTAAATTTCGGTCTCAGTAGCATCATAGCCTGCTTTGTGAAGAATATTTATTTATCTAAGACATATTTTTGTATATAGGCAAAAAGTCTGCATGCCTCAAAACTAGGACAATAGCTTTAGTATTGTACTTATTGCGACTCGGTACCATGCAGTGGCACCTCGACCTCACACCCAGAGGTCACTTTTGAGCAACCCTAGTCGCCCTCTTTCTTGTTTATTTAAAACTAACTTTTTTGTTTTCACACTCCTCAAATGCAGATTTCATTGGTAATTTTTAGATCTCTGTGTTTGTCACAAAGCACAAGGTTGAGCTACATACATTCGTCACTCTGTAACAACGAAGGAGCATACCCCTCGCTCAAAAACGAGTTGGTACGCCACTGGTCAAAGGAATCGATGGCGGTTTGACGGGACCGCATGATCCAGTTTCTTAACTTGTCGCGCTGTGATTTTCTACAGAGGTGCTGAGGGTGGTGCGTTTATTAATTGAGAGTGTGAATACATGCAACCTCCAGAGTCAAAAGGAAGAAAATAAAGTGTTTTCTCTAGGAAAAAATTATCTCTAAGCCTTTTTTTTCAAAATCATCAAAGATCGTTCTGAGCTATTCTGGCATCAAAAATTGACGAAATGGAAAGAAAATACAATTGGCCTACCCATTTTTCACTTTCTTTGACCCAAATAAGTGCCGCAACAACACAAAATATTTTTAAGTGTACGTAAGAAGTATAGGGAAAACATGTGATTTGCTCCGGTCAGTCAACCTTTCCACAATTTTAGCAAAAGCTTCCACCACTTTTGGGCACCTCTGTAGTAAATCCTAGCGTGATACATTGAGAAATCTATATATACGGTTCCTTCAAACAGCCATCGATACCTTTGATTGACGTGGAAGAATGCAATCCAGTGAATGAGGCTGAGGATGCATCATTAACGAGATAGAGTAAATGATACATTAAACCACTTATCTAATGGGAAATGACAGAATGTATGCATTTCTGCTGTTTAGAAAGCTGCTTCAAGCCACAGTCCTCAGTCATTTCTAAGCGAGCTGGATGTTTTTGTTTAGGAGTTTATGATCTTTATAGTTTGTCTTTGTCCAAGGTATTTCATAAGAGCCATGTTGGAGATTGTATTGTCTATTATGTACCATATTTTTCAGACTACAATCTGCACCCAGTGTAAAGTCCACAAAAACAAATTTTGGCTGATAATTTTTTTCCTGGATAGTATTCCACATTTTGTGCATCATTCGCACCTAATGTAAGAAAATTCTCCTAGATGGTACGCATGGAAAGTGCCTGCTTTATTAACACGTGGATGAGCTTATACGATATAGGATTAAATTATGTGTCCTTCTCAAAATTCACCACTTCTCGTCAAAATGCAGATTCTTCAGAAAAACAAGTCCTTGTATTCTAGTCAACTCCTGCATATAGTTTGTACCACATAAAATTTCAACTTTTAAACATGTTTAGTTCATGGGCAGTTTCACGTGACATACTGGGTCAGGCCCTAAGGACCCCATCGGGCACGTCTTGCAAAATTCAGATTCCAGACGTACCAGGTGCGGTCAGAAAGTTCCAAGACCAATTTTGTGGCATAAAAAGAAGAGATAGCACAGCGATGCGTGCGCAGTAGTCAAAGGCAAGGACCTTCCTGCATCATCATGCCAAAGGGTGTCACTCTGTGAACATTTGGGGCTGCACTACACGAGTTTGTTTGACCACAGGCATGGGCATAATGGCGATTTCACCATAGACTGAAAACCGAAGCAAGAGCGAACATAAACTTTGCATCAAACTCGGCAAATCCAAAACAGAGACCTTTGAAATGATTTAGAGGACTAATGTGAAAAACTGAGGAGACGTGGGAGGGGTTTTGAGTGTCGGTCGCGCTTCAAGAATGCAGAACGTCACTGACGTCAAAGAGGGGTCGTATCAAGTAGCCCTACCACTCTTCGTCTTCCAGCGATGTTCTGCCGTTCCTGAAGCGCGAGTGCCACTTAAAACACTGCACTGTTCACTGCTTTTTGACAGAAGCCTGCCAAATCATTTGAAAGGTTTCCGTTTTATATTTGTCGAGTTTGACGCAGAATTGCATGATGTTCACTGTGGCTCCGGTTTGCAGTCTATGATGAAATCGCCATCGTGCTCGTGCATGTGGTCAGGAAAGATAGTGTAGTGCAGCTCCAAATGTTCACAGATCGACACCGTTTGGCATAACGAGACACGGCGGTTCCTTCTTTTGTGTGCTGCCCACACATCACTGTGCTCCCCTCTCTTTTTCGCTAACAAAATCGGTCTCGGAACTTTTTGATCGCACCTCGTACGTGCCTGAAACTGGAAACGCAAACGTCATTTCGCAAGGAGTTTTATGTTTAGCCTTTCTAGAGTTCAACTCGGAGATTGTGGATTATTGAAAGTAAAGCGAAAATGGTGGTCATGTATTTTTTATGTCCTATACCCGCCTGTTGGTCGTCTGCTCGCTGTTTTGCTGAACGCGAAAATGTCGAGGGCACCGTAGCAGAGGCTGGTGATAAGCAGGATACAGTAATTGTAATAAGTGATAATAATTATTATCTTTATTACTTGTAATAATAGCAGTATGTAATAGAGTAAAAGGTGAGCTAATTGTAATTAATGTAAGAACTTACCAAGTAAAAAAAAAAAAATAGATATCTGAAATCAGCACGAAAATCTGAACAAGATTGTGCTGTTTCATTGCGTTTGGTCAAAAAAGAGAAGTCAACCTGTCGGTCGCCAAAATAGAAAAAAGCGGGGTAAGCGTGGGTTTATGGAGCCCGAATGATCTCCAGTCATACTTACCGAGTTCTGTCATCCACGGAGCCAGTTGCTAGCTGTGCTTGTGTGTTTCACCAATACTAAGAAACGACGCCAGTAACTAATCGTGTGCAAGCAAACAAATGAGGAAAGTGCCAGATGCTGCTCACCAACACGGTGGGAGACAACTTACTGAAAGTCGAAGTGTTTCCAGAAAATGCAGCACTAGGAGGAAGTAGCGCAACTAGAAACATGGGCAGATTGCGTCTTATCTCATTATAGATAAGAATTGAAGGTTTTGCCTAAAATACTCAATTAACGTAAAATGGGGAAGCGAATAGCTCGCATTGAACGCGTGGACGGCTTTGATGCAGGAAACCGCGCAAAGGAGCGGAGGACGGGGCAGCGGACGCCAAGGTGAACCATTCCATGTTCCACGTTGACTCGGATCACAACGTTCTGGAAGAGCAGACTGACAAGCCGGACTCTGCACGGAACCCCAATGTTCCCGACATGTCCGGGAGCGTCCACAGTCGTTTTCACATCGTCAAGAGTGAGTGCTCTGGGACACCAAAGCTACCTCCGAGAATGTTGTTTTATTGTGCAAACGTGACTACATACCCTAAGTGTCCTGGAAAGCTTGAAAATTATTCGTGGCCTCTTCTCTATTAAAAGTTTGACCGAACATCTCCTTACGCATCTTCTCAGAGACTTATCTCAGGAAAAGGCAAATAACATCTAAGGAAAGGGGTAACAAGGATTCATTACAATCGTGCATTGCGTTTTCCCAATTAAAATGTGACCACTGATGTTTGCTCACGCTTTAATGGGGAAAATGCCGCGCATGACTCATATTGGGTTTTTTCGGATATTGGGGTGCATAAACTGAGTTTGCACTCTTTTCCTCATTAAAAACGCAACCAAACATTGTGTTGCATCCATTTTCTGATATATATCGCAGAAAATTTACGATGACATCCAGCCTAGGTATTTGCATGATTGAAAGGAGGACCATCAGGCTTGCTTCTGCCAACTTGTTTCATGTCCCTTTGAAGGACAAAGGCTTCCCATATTCTTTCATACCCACCTCATCCTTTATGCCTTATATTTTCTTTGACTGCTGCAGGTAATGTGAGCATAACGATTGCTGTATTCCCTAAACCAGGGTTTCTCAAACCTGTCACTCTCAAGGAACCCTTATCGCCATTGACTGACAGCCAAGGAACTCCTTTCAGGCTCGGTGTTAATTCAATAAAGCAGTGTGGAAGCCTACCTTGTAAACAGTAATGTGCAGACTAGAGAGAGTTGACTGATGGTTATACAGCAACAAGTGGTTTAGAATTGGAAAATGCCTAACCTGGTCGCAGGAATGGTCAAGGAACTTTGAGAGCTCAGGGAAAGCCATGAGGGAAATCCAGGGAATCCTTGGATATCTAGGAACCCAGTTTGGGGGCACATGCACTAAGCCAAGCACACTCTGTTGTCTGTTCACTGCGTCTATCGGAAGACAGCGCCACAAGTGACATGCGTCGCTAGCTTGGTCTTCAGTAAACATGCCTACTGTTTACTTTTGCAAGATTCGTGGTTTCATTCCTCAAAAGGTGAAAGGCACCACCTCAGTGCACGTTCAGTGAAAGTTTGAGCTTTCGATGTGCAGGCACTGTTTTTTCCACCTCAATAGTCAATTTACAGTTAAGATCCACTGGGTGGATCCGGTCGGATCAAGAAACTGAAACCTGGTCTTTCGTGCCACTAAGATAAACTGCATTGCAGAAAGCTGGAACTCCTTGAGAATGTGACGCTAGCAGTGGTGATAGAATGCAAAGGTTTGAGAACATGGCATTGCCTAACTAAAAAAAATGAAGAAACAAGAAAAAATTATTTATTTTAATTTTATTAATTTATAGATACTACTTCCTTCTCTTGGAATGTGTTGTTGTACTTGGTTTCAAGGCCTAATTAATAGAATACAATAGACAATTTATTACTGAGAAACAAAAAATATAAGTGGCAGTTATACAGACTGCAGTAATGAATGTGCTGCGCCATTTGTGCCAAATTGCTCCGTGAACGAAGGTCTTCTACATCTTACACCAAAATGCCATTTTTGCTAAACATTGCACTGCACCTGCACTAAAATGAGCTTAAACAAAGAGGGCAAAAAATTTAATTATTGGTTGAAGCTAGTTTTTATAGTAGAAGAAAAGGAAATAGGTACAAAGATGTATTCCGCAGCCAGTGTCTCCACACACTGTATAGTTTTTTTTTCATCTTAGGTAAGAGCACTGTCGAAGGCTCAAGCACTCGTAACACCCACACGCACACACTACATGAGTAGTTTTATGACATGACTAGCTTCCACCAGCATGCCTACACACTGGTCGTCTTTTTGGATACAACTGGGGTTCTCTCGAAAGCAAAAAGATAGGAATAAATTTTTTTAGAAACATTTGTGTTGCATAGGATATTGCCAATTCTTGTTTGGTAATCTAAGCATTGGGAAATAATTGACAAGCATGTTAGTAAATCTTGATGCAGAGGGAAAGAATGTTGGTAAATTTCGTGAAATAGGCGAAAGCGATAACACTGCGTTCGTAAAAGCAACATTCGGCAAGGATGACAAATATTTTGTGGAGATTGGATAGCAGTATGATTGTAACAAGTTTCACCAGACACTTCACGGTTTGCCTATGTTGTCTGACTTGCAGAGCGACGGGTGGAAGACATCCTGGTGATGATGTTTGAAGATGAATTGGAAGAGCTGGAGATCATGGCCCTGGCTGCTGCCAATGTCTCCTGCACATGCCCATGCACTTGCGGGAAGAAGCAGGCCGTGTAGTGGCGCTAGCCAAGACGGAAGTGCAAGTGGCTGCGAGATCCACAAAGTGTGCAATTTGATCATTCCATGAACTTTGCAGTCTATTCACAGTGCCGCTGCTACTGGTATTTTTTTTTTCTTTCCTCATTTGGCAGGTTTCTGCCACTCCAAACATTAATTTGAAATGTAGGAAGTAGGCTGAATGACTCTGTTTAAGTTGCTCAGCGTTAGATTTACAGCATTATGGCGATGGTTTGCTTCTTTGCCATTTACAAATGGAATGCGGTTGTTTTGGCTGAATGGTATTGAGACACAATCAATGCGGAGAATATTTGAAGAGGTGTGTGTGCATTTTCAAAATAATCGTATTCTAAGGTACAGTTTATTCAGCGTAACTTTTGTAATAACCGACCGGAAGAGGGAACAAGAGCTTTTGGTCGCATCTGTTGAAGACAAGCACATTCCAAGCCCAGAACAATTTTGGAAACTTGGAATCCTGTTAAGAGATTGTTTTTGACAAATGAGCAGTCGTTTTGACTTCTAATTGTCGTCGTATATACACCTAGATAGCTGGTACTTTTACTTATAATTGTTGACGTATACACATCCAGGTTTAATTTATGGTTATACAAATAACTCCTTTGTGCCAGTTCTGTTAATCGCTAAAAACTTGAATTGTTTAGGGCAGTGTGAGATACTCTTGGTGCAGCTTTATGCACGAGTACACTTTTTGTACCAATCCCGAACATTTCTGATGCAAGGAACTTAGTTTTCCTTCAGTTGTAATAATGTGAAACTAGTGCTTTTTGACAAATGTGATAGTGCTTCCAAGTGCGCCATATTTAAATAAAGCAAAGCCCTTGGCTGTCAGCAAATGTGTTTTGTTTGTTATAAAAAAAAATTAAGAATATTTGATGATTTCAGACCATACTACTGTTAGGATTGGTTTTCTTTATCAGTTCAGTTTATTAGTCGTCAAAGGCACTTCCATCACATGAGGGGGGTTCTAGTAGAAAATTTAACAGTGAGAGTTGTTAAGTAAATGTTTGGTTAATTGTGAACAAGATGCATATTATGCAGACAATATAAAAAGCACAGGTAAAGTTTCGGGATAAAAGAGTGCAACGGGACACGGACAAAGTATAGACGACAATATTCGGCACAGTTACCCTAGCCCACATAAACTTCTCCTAAGGAAACAGTAAATAAGCCGTGGATGTGACCACTTAAGGATTTCGATCAATGACAAACACCTTTGAGATCTGCCTAGCAAAGATAACCAAATTTTTCCTGGTTAGTTTCGAGTGCAATCGTTTCGGGGAGAGAATTCCAATCATTAACAACTAGAGTTTTGAAATTTATCGGTTTGCATTTTCTTCTGACCAGAACCTTTCATAAAATAAGCAAAATCCTCCGAACTGTAACCAGATGGGTTTAATTCATTCCTTATGCTCTCAGTTCTTCTTCGGCAAGATTCCGTGCTCGACCCCCGCCCGATATATGTGCCTTGGAGCGTTCGAAATCTGTGCAGAAGGAAAGAAGTCCTAGTACTCGCCGTGGGCCCAGAAAGAAAGGAATTAAAGGGACACTGACACATTGAGATCATTTTTTTCTATTATCCGAAACGATTGAAAATAATGCCGGGACATTACCCTCAAAATTCGAAACTTGGGAATTCAGTATTTGTGGAGTATAAAAAAAATTTCCAAATGCCGAATTCGAAGTTTCCGCGCGATCTGCGCCAATGCATTGACGATAAATATTGCGGAGTCCTGAGCTTCTACTTTCTTTCACGACTCCGCGCTGTTGCCACCGCGACCCGAAGTGAGGAGGAAAAGAGGCGGCAGATGAACGGCGCCGGCGGACCGGACCAAGGAAAACCGGTTTTATTCAGTGCGAGCGGTGCTGCCTGCCCTGGCGGCATGTTTTCCGAGGGAGGTTACAATTCCAGAAGGCGACATCACACCGTACTGCGATTTTTGGTATGTCAAAAAGAAGGGCCGTGGTGCGTTCACAATTACGTTAAAAAACGTGTTTTATGATTGCCGTTATTAAATGTTATAGAAATGTCGCCTACAAAGCTTCTATATTTCATGATTCTTGAATTCACGAACCAAAAGAAGCGAGGAGGCGAAAAGCGGAAGAGGAAAACACCAAAAATAAGAAGGCGCGCGCGCGTGTGGGAAATCTTTTCTCCTTCCGATGCGGTGTTTTTTGGGGTCTTTTTTTGCGTTTCTATAACTACATCTTTCATCGTTTTAGATGATTAAAAAAATGCGACCCTTGGGGTGTCAGTGTTAAGTGGCCAAGTCTCCCACCCCCTCAACTCTTTGAAAACAGGGGGTTCAAGGTAGACGAGTGTCTTTTTAGGGTAAGGCGCCTTGCGCGCGTGCCCAACTCGCGTGTCTGCGGCATCCTAAAATGTGGTCTCTCAGTTTCCTCCCGACGACGTCGTGTGAGTGTCACACTGTTGCCTGCTGAGATCCCAGTAGGGGCACTGTAGCGAAGAGACGTCTGCACTGCGGCAGGCGTCTCTTCTGTTGTAGGTCGCCCTCCGGCTTGACAGTTCTTGGAGGCGTTGGCAGCCAGGAGTTGGGACACTGCAACAACGGCGGTGCTCGCTATCGCTCGTACATTTTTGCCGGAACTTCTACAACCAACTGCGACGCAGTCTGTTGCACTTTGGGGCCACTTTCGATGCTTGGGCAGTGTAGGACGCTAAATGCACCATAAATTAGTGTGAGGAAGAAAAACCATTATAAAATAATATACCTCTCGGTATCACCTGGAAAGGCACAACCAATTTAAAGCTGATTTGAAATAAAAAGAATAGGGTGGCAATTCCACCAAATTTTATTTTTGGAAAATAACCAATTGAAGGGGTGAGAAACTAGGTGGTTAAAGAGATGCCCTAGTTAAGGGGTGTGGGTCTGATCAGTGGCTTTCAATGTTTGTGTGTTTTCTTTACAAGAAAAAAAAATACCCTAATTTATATTAGTTTTTAGTTTTGGGGTATCGTCTGGGGTCCTCGAATATGAGAGGTTCAAGATGAGAACACAATGTTGGGGTAGTTGAGTCTTGTTCTTGATTTGGTTTCTGTAAAAATTAGCTCATTAAAGGGCAACTCCGATAAATTATAATGTTGAGAAAACAATGCGGGCGTGTGTCGTATCATCTGAAAAGCCTACACGTAAAATATTGCGGCGCTATTTCACCCAAAAGAACTTCAACCAGCCAACTAAGTCAGCGGCTCCACAGTCGCCAAAATCCACCCAATCTCGCAAGCGACACGACACGCGGAACAGCGCAGTCAATGTTGCTGTGTGGACACAGCCAACACTGCACTCTGTCTCCGCGAAGTGATAATGGATTTGGCAGGGGTCTGGGTTTTGCTGGCGACGATGGAAAAGGAAAAGGTTACATACCCGAAGAGGCGATTAAAAGATTGGTGGAAATTATCACGGGAGAATTTAATGATATGCAACTAACTAGCATTGCTGGGAGCAGGCACACAAGAAAATTGGGACTCCCTCCCACGTGGCTTCAACCCAAAGTCTCAACCCTGTTTCCCAGTGGATCTGGTGCTGAGGTAACGCCAATGTTTGACCAGAGGAAAATTGGCGCCTCCCTTGCCAGGGGGAAGAGGTGGGGAATGGTGTTCTTAGTTTTTTTTGCCGATCCCCCGGAAGGTCGTCCTGGTGATACCCCACACTGCCTGGTGATAGTTAGGGGGAGAAAATTGGTCTTGGAAAGGTGGGAGGAATCATATGTTAGGCCTTTTTAGACTCGGGCTAGCTGGCGCAAGCTACCGCCCATTACAAAGGGCACTGTAGCGTCCATCAATCAACATCTGGAACATCCATCGATCAACATCTGTGTGTGTCTTGCTTTTCGAGGCGCGAAGCGCGAGGGCGAGAGAGAAAACGGGCGGAGAGACGACACGCGACACTGCCACTTCGCAGCTGTGCTGGCTCAACACTGCCTTTACGCCGTCTGTCACATTCGTTGATGACGTAGGCTGTGTTCCAAAATTTACTCGATCCAACTCCGGAGTAAAGGTGTCGTACCGTGGCGTTTCAAAACTTTCTCGCGCTTACTCGACGACGTCGGAACTCGCATTCCAGAAGCGGGTTGTTTACTCCGGAGTAATAACTCGCGCTGCCTTCCTCAATTGGGGGGTAACGTCGGATCATATTGAGTAAATACGTCGCATCTATTCGTCGACTGCTTTCTGCGGCTACGGCGGTCAAAGCCAATCAAAGCTCGCTTGCTTCGTTGGCTTTGGTGGTGTACGTTCGAAGTGAGAAAGATTGAGGTGCGTGGTTATTGCGATTTGCTGTTTTCAAGGCAGGATTTGGCTGCATCACATCCAAACCGTGCACCTTCCCTGGGAACGTATACCTGTTGCTATTATCAGAGTGCGAGCGTAAGCAGGAGCTCCTCCGCATCCTCGTCCTCGGCGTTGGTGGGAATGCCGTATTCTCACGTTCAAGGCTGAAAATGTTTGAACGCTGTAGATGATGTGGAAGTATATTTGTTTCCCCCAGAGTGTGTGTAATGAAAGGATAATGCTTGTAAAGTAGTGAAGGCTTTGGAGATTTCATGTACATGATCAGTCGGCAACCCCTCCCAACCTCCCTCTCCAAGAAATTGCCTATAACGGTTTTGAAGTTTTCTTCGTGATTTCGTAATCATATTCGCGTCAAAGCGAACGTAAGTTACATATCAGTGTTGAGAAAGTCCCCTGCACTGTTCCGCTGTTTTCTGTGTTTACGGCAGCTATACTAGATTTACAGCAATCGCGCTGATTAGTAAGAAAAAATTTTTGATGTCTCACTGAAAGGAGTAAGTAATTTTGATCTTAATATACAGCCGAAAAGAAAGGTGAGCAAAAGGAGCTGGTGGGGCCACCTCAGAAAACACTGCGCTATCATTAATATTATTGTCTCTTCGAGTGCTTTCTCCATTATTAAAAGAGGTTGTGTGCTATTTTCTGCCATTGCTGCTGAAGGGAGAAAGGGAAGGGGGGTACAGATGAAGCTTTTATGCCTCCCAGCGACAACGTCCAGTTGTTTCAAAGTGTCGACTGCTATTGAGGCAACACTTGTATACAATATTTGTTGTAGGATAGTTCATATTGCCAATGGCCAAGAGAAAATGCCAAATGCAGCTGCGGAAATATAATTCGATATTGCATCTAAACTTCATTTCTTGTTTTAGAATTTTTGAAAATAGAAAGCCCCTTAAAAATAATCTCAGAATTTCAAAAAATTGGGAATCTAACAAAAATTAAACTGCGATAAACTCGGAAATTCCAGCGAAAAATAAACTCCGAAAAAAACCCTCTGAATTTCATGACGAAACAACTCTGAAAACACGGAATTCCAGGTGTTTATAACCTGTAACATACTGTAAGGCCCTGGATGGATGGATGCATGTGTTTATCACAATGATTGAAGTTGGACTGCGATGGTGCGCCCAGGGTGACGTTCGATGCAGATCCGAGCGAGCACTGCTCACTCACTGCCGTCCGAGCCCCATTTCTTTCTTCCTAACAGTAGACCTCCCTCGGAAGGAAAAAGCCACCGGCCACGGACGTTAGAGTTGGGTTGCAGCATCGGGATGTGGACGATATCGGTTGATTTAGAGCGGTGGTGGCAAAGCAAATGAACCGGTGTGACTTCGAGGATTCTAAAGGACAGCTTACGAGAGATTTGAATTCGGAAACACCTTCTTGCCAGATTGGAAGGTGCGAAAAATGTGAGAAACGGATATGAACGGCCCTTCAAGCGTTTCTCAAGTTTTTTGCACCTTCCAGACTGGTGGGAAAGTGTTGAGACAAGAACCTTGTCGGCAACTTTGTAGGAGAC